TCGAGTCGATGCTATGTCAGTGGGCGTCCACCTAAGAAAAATCCTATGGGCGATGTCTACACTAGGCTACAAAGACCTAGATGCTAGAGTTGAATTCTAGGGAAATTGACCTCGAATAATGAGGTCAACAACCCTTATCATACCATCTTAAGAAAAGTGGTTATTGAAGATAAATTATTACTTTTGAAGTAAAGGCCTATGGAGTTTGAAGCTCGAGTTGTTGAGCTTTATTCCAAACTCATGGTTGAACAAATATGTAAATTTGATTGTAGATCTTCTTTTGAATGCTTAGTTAGAAAGACTATTTGAGAAGGTTAAAGGCTATTAATATTATCCAACAACTAGCTGAGCCTTAGCTAATCATAGTTGGATGATAATAGATCATCACAAACATAATATTATAAAATAATTTAAATCTTTCAATCAATGTCTTGAATGAATTTTTTTTTTTGGAATGGAGAGGAAATTTATCTATCTACCTATTATGAAAAACTTTGTATTGGCTTTTTTTTTTTTTTTTTTTCACAATCTATAAATTGTTGTATGTTGCCTCACTCAAATCAATGATATATGTGCCATTAGTTGTGGAATGAATAATTCATCTATGTTCTACATCTTAACTTGTTAAACCCTCTCATATTAGAGAGTTAAGGGATTAGGAATATTCTTCTTATTTGGGTGATAAGGCACGATTCTAGGACTAGATATGAGAAAAAATGTGCTTTCTACTCTTTAAGTATTATAATGTTCTTTTTGGTCTTAAAAAAATCATATTTTATGATTGTTTTTTCTCTCATTTATCTCCTAGGATAACTCAATTTTTCTACTTTGAGTCATATGTTTATTTATTTATTTATTTTAAGTTGAGCAATAAGTGCAAATTGTGGTCGAGTTTTAATTGATAAATCATATCTATTTATTTGATTTGATTGCACTAAAAAAATTCCCAAGGTTAGGAAGGGTTGTCCAATAGGAGGTGAAATGCCTCATGACATCATGAAAAGAGTATTGTTTCCCCTAATTATTTCTCTTGAGGTTAGAAAGTGAGTAGTTTCTTCCTCATTTTCTTCCCATAGATTTAACCACTCTTTTTGTGTTTATTGATTATTAAAATGAAAATGAGCATTGTCTCCAAGTTAAAAATTGATATGGTTAGGAAACCTTTTAAAACATTGATAAATTTATTCTTATAGTTCTTTCCCATATGAGCAACCAATTTCCTTCCCTCATATCAAAATATTCTTTGATTCTATTATTTGGTTTGATTATTTTGTCTAATCACTTAATTATTAATAATTTGAATTAAACTTCAATTGTTATTGTATAAATTTCTATGAACTTGTTCTCTTTTGTTCTTAGTTTGCCGCAATTTCTTGATCTAAATGACATTATTTGGCTTGGGAATTTATTTCTTTGATAAGTAAGACGGAAGTCACAATAATGAAGTGGAACTTTTTGGTATCTTTAGTTCGATCAAGAGATGGAATAGATGATATTTTTTACACCCTTTCGTTGGAACTATTAATCTCGACTTCATGAAGCAATGCCTATATTGAATCCATAAAATTAGCTCAGCTTCATACTCAAACTCCTTAACAATTGAGGTCACCATGGGGAGAGTAATACACGCATTATCTGAGGCCCCCCATTCTCTATTATATGAATCATATCTTAATTGATCTCAAGGGAGTTGATGTAGTACACCAAGTGGTTAAATCCAATCAATTTATTGGATCCATTTCAAGAGCAAGAATAAAAGCCCAAAATATCACAAATTGATGAAAGAGCATATTTCAAAACCCATGAAAATGCCCTTTGTTTAATTATTTAAATGTAATTTTATTTTCTTAGTTTGCACTTTTTTACGTCCGTTGAATCACGTATGGTCGAACAACTCAATGTGAAGCATGAAAAAAAAAATGAAAAATGTTGAAAATATTTTTTTCATTAAGCTACCATGCTATTCCTCTTTCCCTTCAAAATGAGGAAGCTAAAGAGTCATTTTTTTTCTTATAAATAAGTGTTCATATGCAAAGAAATTTCTAGCATGGAAGAAAATCATTTGAGTTAGTTAAAAATACTTCCTCTCTTTGCTTGTGCTTTAGTAGTTTCAAAGGTGTCTTTTATTTGTTGAGATAATGTAGTTATCTGTTTATTTTTAAGTTTTTTTCTCTCATCTTTCAAACTTCTAATCTTAAATCATCTAACATATCCCCCCACATTATAAGTCTCCTCCTTAGATTAGCTACTACCCAACCTAAGCCTCATAATCACATCAAAATTTCATTTGTAGCTCTTGACCATAGCAAGCAATGTTAGGACATAGTCTTGTTCCATACTGCCTGACATCTCATGAACTTGTAATTTAGGGTTTCATAAAAGAATAATACATTATTGGTAACTTCCAATCTTTATTTGCACATGAAGGTAATGCTTCATTCATCAAAATCAATTGAAATTTGATTTTTAGTTATCTTTTGTACGTGGTTTATATAAAGATGAAGGGTTTTAGGGTTTAGAAAATAGTTTTTTCCATAATGTATTGTTAATACTTTGTGTAGTGTTGTAAATGTGCCAAGTTGGCTCATGAGCCGGCTCAAGCTTAACTAGTTAACGAGCTTGTCGAGCCACGAGATCGAATGCAAATAATGATTTGAGTAAGAGTATTGGGTGTGGGATGATCATGGTGTTATCTCTGAAAAAATTATAGGTGGTCAAGCTTTCCAAAAACTCATTTTAGTTTGGGACTAAAATTCAAAGTGTAATGCAAGAGCGAGAAATGATTGTTATTTTTTACTTTTCCTTAAATTGGTTAAGATTTAAACTTCTTTGTTACATGCTAAGGCAACTTTTATTTTGCTGTACATATTTTCAATCTTTCGGAGGATAGCTATTAGCATTTACACATTTGCAATGGTGTTTTATGTTGTGGTGTAGCATAAATCCAAATGGCAATGACCTGAACTTTTGTGATTTATAATTTTCAAGATAATGTTGTTTAATGCAATGTTTAAATTGCTAAAGTTTTTTTTTTTTGTTTTTTTATATGTGTGCAACTATTAGTGATAGATACATTTAGAATCACTTATATATTGTTTTTCAAATTGAGTTATCAGATTTACATTTTATTTTTGCTAAATATGTCAATCTGTGTATGACTTTATTGTTTCCTTACTTGGTTGAATTCTTAGACATCTTGAAGTTCATCATACATACATGAGCAATTTGCATTCAAATTATTTGAGATTGATTAGAATTGCTTATTCATTGTTTTTCAAATTGAAACTTTATTCTATATAAATTTTTTATGTTTTGTTTTTCAAATTGAGTTATAAGACTTACTTTTTATTACTTTCAAAAATATCAATTTATCTATAATTATTTTACAATTATTTTTATAAAAAGTTGCAGCCATTTCAAATGCTCTCTAAGTCAAAATATATGCTACCAAAATTTGAAAACACTTCATTATAATTTAATTGAAATGGTTGAATATAAACCGAAAAAAGAATTTCTACATGTTATAAAGTAAAAATTGAAAACTTACTTTTAATATATGTTATGTTGAAACAAAACTTCATTACAATTTAATTGGAAATTATTATTTATAGATTGCAATAAAAATTTATTAAAATCTTACATCTATATGAGCCTAGTTTGAGCATTATATTTGGACTCGAGTTAATGAGCCGAGCTTGAGTAGATTGTTAAAATAAAATTTAAAAAACAAGGAAGAAATAGTGGCAAAAAATTGTTTCAAATGAAGATTAAAAAAAGTACTATATAGTCATTATCATCCTGGGTCAACACATACTGTAATCCATCATTTTTAATATATTTAAAATATATAATAATAAAAAATGATATTTTGATCAAACTATTCATATATATGTTAAAAACGTCCAATCAAGTAATTTACATAGAAATTTAAAAACTCCCCTTGTTTGAACTGTTCTACCGCCTCTCTTATTTATTTATTGATTTGTTAACGTCATAAGCTAATTAATTCATAATTTTAAGCAAAGTGGAGAATTTATTTAACTTGCATCCAACCGATTTAATTCATATACCAATTTTATGAACTTCCCTTGTTAGAAATTTTCTATCACCTCATTTATTTATTAATATATCGATTAAGATGTTAAGCTAATTAATTCATAATTTTGAGCAAAGGTCAACGACATAGAAATTTTCCATTACTTCCTTGAGACTTCGTAATCTTTACCTCTTACTTCTCCTACTGTTCAGTTGTTCTGCTCTCTCTACCTCGATCATTGGTGCCATGGCGGAATGGTTTGTTGGTCCAATCATGGAAAAGATCGTCGACACTTGCTCTGATTACCTGGAAGAGCAAGTCGGATGGCAGACAGGCATGAAGAAGGAGCTGGAAAGCCTGCGAGAGAACCACCCCAAGATCCAAGCTGTCGTCTTTGCCGCTAACAAAGCACAAATCAGCGATCAGAACCCGGCTCTCAACAAATGGATCTGGCAGCTGCGAAATGCTATTGATGAGGCCGATGATGTGCTCGATGAGTTTGAGTACATGAAGCATAAAGAACAGCTCACCAAAAACACGGAAGAAACAAAGGTGCGTTCCGCCACCACGAGCTTCCTATTTGATTCTGCTTGCGAATATATTTATTTATTTATTTGATAATCTATTTCTAATTAATTTGACCAGAAACGAAAGGTCACAAGCTTCCTATTTGAAAGTGCTCGTAAAATTCTCAGAATTGGCGAACGTGGTCTCCAAAGGGATCCCAACTTGAACTTGAAGCGACTGGAGGAGGCTGTGCAGAAACTTGATAAAGTTTCGGCTGATGTTACTACTTTCCTTCATCTTTTAGACAGCGCGAAGCAGGAACACAAGGAGCAGGAGGTTGATTTCTACAAAACGCGTGAAACAGGATCTTTGCCTAAAAATGATCTAATCGGGCGGGGCAAGGATAAGGAGTCTGTTCTGCAGTGGTTGAAGAAGCCATCAAATGAGCATCGGGGAACTGATTTTTACAGAAACATTTCTCTTCTATCTATAGTGGGCCATGGTGGTATGGGGAAGACAACTCTTTTGCAACATATCTATGAAGATGAAATGACGAAGGAATTTGAATGTAAAATGTGGGTTTGTGTTTCCAACACTTTCGATGTGAAAAGAGTCATTGCAGATATGTTGGAATCTCTTAAAAAGAAGAAGCCTGATTTGGATTCACTTGATGCACTTCAAGGAAAACTTAAGAAGGTGGTGATGTCCAAAAGATTCTTACTGGTCCTTGATGACGTTTGGGAAGAGGAGGAATGGGATAAAAGCAAATGGGAGAATGTGCTCGCCCCTCTAGTTTCTGGAGGTTTTGGTAGTAAGATTCTGGTATCAAGTCGGACGGACTCAATTGCACTGATTTTTGCAAAGGTAATTAAAAAAAAGAAGGAAATAGTTAAATTAGACGGCCTAGAGGAAGATGAGTGTTTGCAGCTCCTCAACTCTCATGCATTTGCTGGTGTAGAGAACCCTAATGATTATGAAAATTTAGGAGTCATTACTCAAGATATAGTTAAAAAGCTTTTAGGATCTCCATTGGCAGCTAAAGTCATTGGTGGTATTCTGAATGACGACTTGGATGAAAGGCATTGGAGGACAGTTCTAGAAAGCAATTTATTGGATTAGAATTCTATCAATTCCATCTTAAGACTGAGCTATATAGTTTTGTCAAATCATCTACAAAATTGTTTTGCAGTTTGTTGTATGTTCCCAGAAGATCATTAGTTTGATAAAGACGATTTAGTCCGAATGTGGATTGCATTGGGTTTCATTCAGCCGTCTCAAGCAATGACTATGGAGGATATCGGAGGAAGGTATTTTGATGTTTTAGTCAAAAAAGCTTTATTTGACAAGGTTGCATATGGCTACAAGGTCGGATATTACTATAAGATGCATGATTTAATACATGAGTCAGCATCTAAATTTTTTGCACAGGAATGCGGTACACTTGTGGATGATGTAGTGTCATCTCTCAAAATTTCTGAGACTATTCGACACTTATCTGTTCAAATTACAAATCCAGACATCATAAAAATTATTGGGCAATTTAAGTATTTGCATTCTCTTATCTTGTTCTATAAAACTTCTAATCAGGATCTTTGCAATGCACTTATTGAAGTATTCAAAGCAACGAGAAGTCTACGCTTATTATACTTATCTGCTCCAAGCTGGGAAAACATGCGCTTATTATACGAATCTGCTCCATGCTTGAAAATGATATCTGAGGAGATTGGAAATTTGTTACATCTTCGATGCTTAAAGATTACTCTTCAGGATTTGATTAAGCTGCCAAGATCTCTAAGTAATCTTTATCACTTGCAATACATAAACTATGATCCCCCAACCATGCTAAGCCAAATTATAGTTGATTTTTTACCAAATGACATCAATAACCTTTCTAACTTGCGTTGCGTGAAATTTCCCATGAATTATAATTCATCGATATGTGGGGTTGGGAAGCTAAAGTCTCTTCAACAACTGAGTATGTTTGATCTTAGAAATGTGAGTGGTTATAGAATTGGGGAGCTGGAGAATATGAATGATCTTTGCAAATTAGGAATCAACTGCCTTGAAAATGTTAAAGATGCCGAGGAGGTTTGTAGTGCCAAATTATATGCCAAGAGGAGGCTCATAGATTTAACCTTATGTTGGAGTAACACTGATTCGAGGAACATCGATTTAGATGAGAACGTGCTCGACAACCTTCATCCACCAAAATGTTTAAGGAATCTGAGGATAGAGAGATACATGGGTGCAAGGTCTGCAATATGGATGAACAATGTTAATATGCTGTCCAATTTAAAGAAAATGGAGAAAATCGATTTGATGGATTGCTTGGAGTGTGAAACTCTTCCACCTTTTGGGCAACTTCCCTTCCTCAAGTCACTGTTACTTTGTAACATGCCGAAAGTAAAATGGCTCGAAAGTAAATTTAATGGGAATGATAAATACCGTTCCTTTCCATTGCTAGAGAAGTTAGATATTTGGGGATTAAAAGCATTAGAGGATTGGTTTGAGGCAGGAGTAGCTGCTGAAGATGGATGTTTGTTTCCATGCTTAATTCAACTGTTTCTACGTGACTGCCCGAAGTTGAAAGAGTTGCCCTCTTTGCCTTCTAAGCTCAAGAGGTTGGAGATACATGAAATTGGGTGGACGACTTTCAATTTTTGTAGCAATTCAAATCCTATTCCCCTTGAATCATTAGGAGTCCTGCACTGTCCAAACATTACATCGCTTCCTCTGGCTGATGAAATAGCAAGACTTGCAGCACTAAGATACTTGAAAATTATAAATTGCCCCAATCTGATCTCTATCGGAAGATATCCACAAGTGGAGACCACTAATAATTGTCATCTCATGCTCAGCGATCTCCTTACAAGTGATCCATCGGTGTTGCTAATGGAGCCATTGAGAAGTATCGCCTCCTTAAAAGAGCTGAATATTTGGAATAATGATGAGCTGGTTTCATTTCCAAATGAGGCGGAGCAGTGGTTTCTCAATGGCAGGTCTTCTCTTTCTGAGCTGCGATTTTTTAATCTCAAATCCTTAGAGTCTCTCCCATCCTCCTTTGAAAGCTTATCTTCACTTCAGAAACTATCTATTGGGCGCGTTCCTATGCTTCGGGAATTACCGAACCTTCCTCCCAATTTACAACATCTATCAATTTCGGGATGTCATCCAGAGTTGAAGGAGCCCTATGGAAAGGATGGAGGCTCCGATCGGCACAAGATTGCTCACATTCCGAATATCCATATACGTTAATGAAATTTTCAAAATACAAAATTAGCAAACTTCTTTCTTATTATCTTATTTGTTATATATATAGATGAAATGTGAAGAATGCATAATATTTTAGCATGAACCAGCTGTTTGTATCGCCTTGATGGATGTACTCAATTATATTTATGTATCACTTGGTGGTCCTTTTATATATGTAAATATATTTTTCTTTAAGCTAGATTCCTGATTTTGATCATTTACAATTGGAATCTAAGTTGTTGTTTTTTTTTTAATTTCTTATTGATTTCTCGAAATCAAATATTTTTTGAATTAAAATTATTTTGAGATAAGTATATTGTCAAATTAGGCTCTCATTGAATTCATTTAATATATAATCCAATTATGTAAAATAAGATTCTATGTATGCGCCCTTGGATTGCTGTTGCATATTCAGCTCCTGTTGCGGCTGCTACAGCTGTTTTCTTGATCTACCCTATTGGTCAAGGAAGTTTCTCTGATGGTATGCCTTTAGGAATATCTGGTACTTTCAACTTCATGATTGTATTCCAGGCAGAGCACAACATTCTTATGCATCCATTTCACATGTTAGGCGTAGCTGGTGTATTCGGCGGCTCTCTATTCAGTGCTATGCATGGTTCTTTGGTAACTTCTAGTTTAATCAGGGAAACCACTTAAAACGAGTATGCTAATTCAGGTTACAGACTATAAATGACCCCTCTTTGGAAGGCTACTACCCAGTTAGAACACTCCCGTAGCGTAGCTCATAGGTAGAAAAAAACTATCCATTCTGAACAAAACAACCTTCATTGAACTCTCCAGACGGAACACTGAGAAAACAGGAAAAAAAAAAAGCTTAACAAAAAGCAAAACAAAGACAAGAAATAAGTGAGAGAATCATCGGTGAAAAGTGAATGTCCATACGATGTCGGCACAAAGTAAAAACATATTCTTTGAAACTTATGCGAGAAAGAAAAGAACACCTCGCGTACGCTTTTCAACCTTTATACATATTGATTGAGTCCCATATTGGGGCGATATTAAGAAGAAAAAGATTCCAGAAAGACAGAAGATTGTCCCATATAAATAATTTCTTAAACTAACAAACTATAAAAAATAATAAACTAAAAAAAAATAAATTATCAAATAAAAAATTAATCATCAGTATCATTTTATCATTTTCTTAATAAAACATTTATTAAATAATAAAATTCAAGTATAACCATGCTATATTGATTCAATATCATCTTACTCACAATATAATTTTATCTAGAATAAAGCATTATATCAAAGTTTGGCTTACATTTAGATATCGTCTGATAATAATTTGTACAATATCATAATAGATATCATAGAAACAAATAACGGCTAACTATTAGATTCCTTAAATACGACCCACAAAAAAATGCACATACTACCATTCCCCCTACAACAATAGAATATTTTATCACACATAAAACATCGCACAAAGCCCCTATGCAATGTTTATTTAAAGAATTATGGTCTTCTGCAAACATCACACAAGTTATAAATAGTTTCAATTCTATAGACAGATTTATAAAGATATTGTTTTGATCTTCTTCAAACTCAAAAATCTTGTACAAAACTTGTTGCCTATTGTATGTATCCTTGGGCAAAAAGACTACATTTTTGGCCCGATGAGGGATATAAGGTTGTCCTAAAGCAATCCCTTGATTCTGTGGAGGATCCCATGGCTACAAACTTTTTTGATTTTTGAAGTGCCAAATAATAAATAATTCCTAAAGAGACACTTGCAAGAGATAAAAATGAACCTCTAGAGAAGGCCCCATGCTTTAAAACATGGCTCACAAAAAGCTAATGTCTAATCGAGAAATATCATTATGATTTATTATTAATCTGTCTATTGGGAGTAAGGATGTCACAAGTGTCCTCTAACCAATGGTTTCGCTGCCAAATGGCACCACACCATGAATTCAACCTTCAAATGGTGCTACAGGTAAATATTTATTACCAAGACCCTCTGAACCGAGTAGTTTTGTTGCAAAATGCATCATTATATTACGGTCATGGTCAACGCCCGTATGTTCCCCAATGACACTAAATCATTTAGATATGAATCAATAGGATATGCTAGATAGGGCACAAAGCCTTATGATATATAAGGTGAATTCAAAGTTGTCACATTAGACAAATATTCACCCCAGATTTACAAGGATTCTTTGAACGAAGCAACCCATGGTTGCCGACAAAAATCCTTCTATCAAGTTGTGTAAACTACCTCCTCTAACTAAGTAGACTAAGGAATACAATTGCCTAGGACGATAGAATCATAAGATCTTGATCGGGCTCACCATTAGCCCCCACCCAAATCCTCTTTAAGTACAAGATGGTCAAATTTTTAATTTTAAATATCAAATTTTCAAATACCAACCAATGTTGCTACTATACGACGGATACCACATATATCTAAGTATCTACTTGATGACTAGCCTTAATTGAAAGTTCTCTATCACATAATCGGGAGGGGTAATTAACTATATGGGCTTACTTCTACAGGGGGGAAATAGGGCAAAATCTTTAGATAATGTCTTATTTCAAACCCAAATAGCATTTTGAAAATTTACCTCGGAACTTAATTCGTTAAAACTCTCCCAAACACAGAGGAGGCTTGAGCACGAATTTTCAAAGCCCCCAATTTCATAGTATCATAACAAGAAAAGAGAATGTAAATATTTAAACTTTCCAATCTAAGTAGTTCAAATAGACAAGTGTTGAAAAGGCCCAAGAATTAAAAGAGGCAACTCTTCATCAACCATAACTTTGAGGCATACCTATGCAAAAATATTATGTGCTAACTCATGCAGTAAGTCATGCATCGTGTAGTATTCTTAATTATTTTAGCATTCTAAATCTTCAAACTTGTCAAAGAAACATTTTTTTAACTAAAATATCAAAATATCTTCCTCTTATATCCTCCATAGTCTCTCCTTGAATATGAGACGGCTGAGTGAATCCCAATGCAATCCAAATTTAGACTAAATCATCTTTATTGAACACATGATTTTGTGAAAATATTGAACAAAATGAAAAACAAATTTGTAGATGATTTGGCATACCTACTTTGCTTAGTATTAAGATGGAAAAGATATAATCAAACCCGTTCGCCTTCCTCCAATTGCAAGCCTTGCTCGACATCTCCTTTGCGCCAACGCCTCCGTCTGTGCCCTAGCTGAAGCCAAGCCTTCTCTCAGTCGTCCTCCTAGCTGTTAGCGACCTTAACCCAACATCCGCCTCTAGCTGGTCACCCCGTTTGACTTCGACTATACCCAACCTCTCGACGTCAGCTATGCCTCCTCCGGCCGACTTCAGCACGTCATCTTCAGCTTCCTCGACAACCCTTGTCATTGATTGACCCGTCATTAGGTGAAGAGGAGGCACTATGTTTAGGGTTTCTTGGCTCTATGCATGGCATATGGTGTTCAGTATTTCTTCTTCCCTAATCCTTTGATTTCCTACCATTTTCTGCTGTATGGCTGCAAATCGGCTTGGGGATCCTGAGTTTTTGGATGGCAAGACAAAGTCGAAATCATTTCGTGATGATTTATCTAGTGATTTGCCTGGTTTTCCACAGCTCAAAGTTTCTTCTCATCGCAGTTTGCCTGCTAAAATCATTTCGGATGAGGAATTATTGTCTCTTGCCATGCCTTTTGAGTTTGTGTTGGAAGGTAAATTTTCGGGCCGTCGCTCGCCTGTGGATTTTATTCAAAAATTCTTCTTTAATTTGAAGCTGTGTGGTGCATTTTCAGTTACTGTCTTGAATCTTAAAAATGTGTCGATCAAGCTAGATAATGACCTAGATTACGGTAGGATTTTCTCTCGTCGATCGTATTTCATCGCTAACTGTTTCATGAAGTTGTTTAAGTGGTCGCCCCTCTTTGACATTAATGTTGAGTCGCCTATTATGTTCGTGTGGGTCTCTTTTCCCAGTTTGCATCCTCATAATTTTTAAACTCGTATTCTTCATGGTTTGGGCTCTATGTTTGGTAGGCCTTTGCATGTTGACAATGCCACTTCGAACGACACTCGACCGTCTGTTGCTCCAATTCTTGTGGAACTAGATGTCACGAAACATTATGCTTCCCAGGTGTGGCTTGGCTCTAAATCTAAGGGATACATCCAAAATATTGAAATGGAGGTTTTCCCATTGTATTGCTCTCATTGTAAAATGTTGGGTCATTCTAAAGAGTTTTATCCTATTTTATTCTGTAAGAAGGATGTGCATCCCTCTGTTCCTGAGGTGGTCGTCATGGAGGTGGCTGATAATCTTGTTAATGGTTTGATTGAGGTGGCACTTAATGAGGGGGTAGCTGGTAATGATATTACTCTTGACAATGATACTACAGTTGTTGTGTCTCCTTTGCTTAATGAAGTGGGTCTTGTTATTGAGAATGTTGTAGAGTTAGGTGATGGTGTTCCACACTGTGATGATGTTTTAGTTTCGCCTACTACTGTCCTTCAGTCAAGTGCATGTGTTGTGTGTTGAATGCTCCTAATGAGTCTGGTGAGGGTTTGTATGACTTGGCTGCTCCTATTGTTGAGGAAGTGGAGGCGGATGATGGTGTGATTCAGATGGATGGGTGCCTTGGTTCACCAGGGGTTGTGGATGTCCCTAGTGTTGTGGTTGTTGTTCCTCCCCTCCAGGGATCTGCGATGGTTGCTGGCAATATTTCTATTAATCATTTGGATGCTTTGGCCAGGATTCCCTCTGTTGGGGGGAGTGATGGTGATGCTTTGGCTGATGTTCCTGTGGGGCTTATTTTGCCTAATGTTTTTAAGTCAAGGATTTTGTCGTGAGCAGGGGAGTCCTGTTTGAGAAAAAATGATTGGTTGGATGACTCAATAGATTATTCATGCGATTTGGATTATGAATTGAAGGATTAAGTTGGGGCCTTATGAGGCTCGTATGGTTTGGATATCTCTAGGGCTTTGGGTCCCCCTTTCTCTCATGGTGGAAAACGGCGTCATTGCAAATCTAGTAGATA